TCTTGACATTTCCCCGTCCAAACAAATGACATATCCTTTCGTAACAACTTAGTTAGCGGTAACGCTAACATTGAGAAGTTCTTCACAAACTGTCTATAATAACCAACAAATCCCAAGAAACTCCGAACCTTAGAAACATTCTTTAGGGTTGCCAGTCCACTATAGCTTGGATCTTTCTAGGATCTATTCTTATACCTTTTGTGAAAACTATGTGACCAAGGAAAGCAATTTTGGCTAACCAAAATACGCACTTTGACAATTTGGCATACAACTTTTTCTCGTGAAGTATCTGAAGAACTACTCGAAGATGAGCATCATGTTTCTCTCTTGACTTAGAATATACCAAAATATCATCTATAAATATCACCACGAATTGATCCAAATAGAGTTAGAATACTCGGTTCATCAAGTCCATGAATGCTACAGGTTCATTAATCAAACCAAAAGGCATCACTACAAATTCATAGTGCCCATACCGAGTCCGAAAGCTGTCTTTGAAATATCATCCTCTTTAATCTTTAAATGATGGTACCCTGACCTTAGATATATCTTATAAAACACCACTTCTTCTTTCAATTGATCAAACATATCATCAATCTTTGGAAGATGATACTTGTTCTTTATTGTTACTTTATTTAACTAACGGTAATCGATACATAATCGCATAGACTCGTCTTTCTTTTTCACAAATAGCACAGGTGCTCCCCAAGGAAAAACACTGAGTCTTACAAATCCTTTATCGAGTAACTCTTGCAGTTGAGCTTTTAATTCTCTCAATTCAGTCGGAGTCATCCTATATGGAGCCATAAAAACAGGTTCGGTACCCGGATAAACCTCAATCCTGAATTCTACCTCACGATCTGGAGATAATCCCGATAACTCCTTGGGAAAAATGTTGGAAATTCTCTAACCGTGGCAAAATCATTTACTTTAACTTCTGATATTCAAGTATCTATCACATTGGCTAGAAAAGCTATAAATCCTTTTGACATCATTTTCCTTCCAGTCATGGATGATATCATATTTGATGGTGATTTCGTTTTTTCGCCGATCACTACTATTTCTGAACCTTTTACATCTTTCAGAAACAAGCTTTTCTTACGACAATATACCCATCCATAATGTAGAGACAACTAATCCATGCCTAAAATGATTTCAAATTCATCAAAGGGTAACTCCATCAAGTTTGCCGGGAATACAATCCCTTGGATCTTTATAGGGCATTTTCTACATACTCGAGTTACTCTCACACTATGACCCATAGGGTTTACCGCTATCATCTCACTGACAATTGGTTCTAAAGGGATTCCTCTAGTTCTAACCAACTTTGTACTAATGTATGAGTTTGTAGAACCAGAATCGACTAAAACAATACAAGCTCATCAAAAAGATGGAAAGTACCTGTTATGATTTTAGTGTCATCTCGGTCCTCATTAGTCTTAATGTTGTAATTCTAGAGACTCCCCGAGTCTATTATGTCTGCATTGAATTTTATTGTCCCCTGGATCTACCCCTTCCTCTGCTTCTATTTGAGGTTGCCACCGATCTTTCATATTGCGCCGAATTGTCTCCAATTTCTTAGAACAATTTTGAGCAAAGTAACCAGTCTTGCCACATTGGAAACAAGCTTCACTTAGAAGTCTGCATGCTCTACGGTGCAATTTGCTACATGTTTGACATGGAATTCTTTCCCTAGATGCTTTACCAAAGCTACCACAAAAGACTGAGAATGTATATTTTTCTGTGAAGCTATTGCAGAACTTTCTTTATTAGTATATATGGAACTCCAGCCCTTGCCTCTTTTAACATGATGGGGAGTTGAAGGCATTCTCACTCTTTTCCTTGTCTGTAAACTTTTCTCTGCAACTAACGTAGCCTCCTCAACCCTTTCAATAGATTTGGCTCGGTTTATAACTTCTTGTAAACTCGATAAGTTCAAAGCTATCATCTCTTTCAACTTTGGCTTCAAACCCTCTATAAACCAATCACATCTTGCTTTATCATTTGAAACGACATCAGTAGAAAAATGACTCAACTTGTTATACTCATCCTCGAACTCATGTACGACTCGATCACCTTGCTTTAAATTAAGGAACTTTAACAGCATTGCCCGTCTGAACTGTTCACCCACATACTTGTTCTTGAATTATTACAGGAAGAATTGTCAGGTCACTTGCTCCGATGTTTCATACATCGTAGTATTTGACCACCATACCCGAGTTGAGCCTCTAGGTAAAGACGCAGCTCCACCCAACTTTTCCAGATCCGAACAGTGAAGACTTCCAATCATTATTATAACATCATTTAGCCATAAGTAATCCTCAATAGGACCCTCACCCTCTTCTCCTCGGAACTCTGAAACTCCCAAACTCTTCAGCTCTTTTGGGATCAACATTCTCGGTGCTGGAGGAGCAGGGCTTGCATGAAAGTTCCTAACTCAGGCACCGAAATCCCCTGATGTGCAGCTGCACTAGCAATTTTAGAAGGGAGAGGTTGTTCACTATTAGCCTCATAACTTCCATTACCAGTTCCTTTTTGCATCTCTTGTTCCCCAACTCTTCGCGAATTCGAAGATTTCGACATCTATTATGACATACATAATAATATTACGATTAGTAAGGAGTGTCATCAATTTCACTCTAATGACATCATACCAGTAGCATTGACAATCTTTATGGCATGCAATCCCTTTTCTATTTTAAAATAAACCAATTTCAGTCGAGATTGGCTAAACTGTAGTTCTGATACCAATAAATGTAACACTCATCTCCCGTATATTTTTTTGTACACGAGATACGAATGTCACATCACTTTTTAAAATAGTTCCTCATTTGAAAACCTGTAAAATTTTGTTTTTTGATTTCTTAAAACATAACATTTTTAACATAAAGCAAAACATTGATTGTAATCTATTACAAAGTTATACTTGAATAAAAATTCAGAGCATTATTAGTACTTTAATTACATGCCAAATAAGTTTTCCAAAATAAACTGGATTATCCTATTATCACTGACGAGTCGACTTTAATTGATGATCACTGCTACTACAGTAGCACTCCTTAATTAATCTTTGCCTTTACCTACGTGTAAAATCAACGCACGTAAATATGTACTTAGTGAGACATATTATTGTAAAGAAACAATAATGTATACTTAAGCCTATCATGGTTATTTGAATTCGAACTAATTTGTATCATCCATAAGGATTAGATAAATCCATATTATTGAACCAAACTTCTTTCATACTATTATCATAAATATCCTTAATATGTCTAACATAATTTTCTTTCTGTACATTTTCCTCATTTTTCTTTAGTAATTATTCATTAATTTCATTTATGTATCCTTTCATGTCTTTAATGCATCATTTCATGCCTTAATGCATCATTTCATGCATTTCATTTATAGTATCCTTTCATCCTTTAATGCATCATTTCACGCATTTCATTTATGGCATCCTTTCATGACTTAATGCATCATTTCATGGATTTAATTTATGGCATCATTTCATGCCTTAATGCATCATTTCATGCATTTCATTTATGGATTCGTTTTAGAGCAGTTCATACTCTAACATTCATTCATAATATTTTTTTCCATACATATAATGATAACATATTAAATACTATCAAACATACATTCACTTAAAACGTTCTAATTTGAATTATTGCGAATCTTTTTCATCTCAAATAATTACAATAAATGTACTCACCTGGTAATTTCCGTTAATATGATGTAGATGTCTGGTTAATCTGCAACTTTATCTTTTCCACTTTTCTTGTTAGATTCAGGAGCTTGGTTATGATCTACACAAGCATCCATTAAAGACATATACCACATTAAATGTTAATATATTCTCTAACATTTATGCTTTAATAATACTCAAAAGTACCCTTATTTCAATTTCTATAAATATTTCAATCTATCTTATAGTTTCAGGTTCAATAGTATCGATGCCCCTACCATGGTATCGATACTTCTATACTATGGTATTGATACCTTTCTCTCAGTATCGATACTACTATACTTTGGTACTGATACTCCCCTTCGGCATCGATACATTTCGGTATTTTGTGATCCATGGTATCGATACTTCACTTTGTTATTATCAATACCCTATTTGTATCGATATTACTTTCATAGGTACCGATACTGTTCGTCACATTTCTACCCATTTACACCTATATTATCGGTACTGTTCTATCAATACCGATACCATTACCCAAATTTATCATTTTCAGCTCGATTTTCACTTAATTTTTCCCTCTAATCTTTTACTTTTACCTCCAACAATACTATTAAACTCCTCTTTACTTCACCCAACTAACTTTACTTCATTTAACTTCTTATAACATTCAAAATCTCAATAGAACATCTCAACCCTAGAATCGTATCATTTTTTCTAACATGTTTTAATCATATCTAATGTTTCTAATCTCTTATTCACTCTTTTGACAAGTCAATTTTACTAATAAACCTCAATAAAAACTCATATAGCAACATATCATTCAAAAACTCATTTCCTTAAATCTCATATAAAACATCCACCACTTAATTTTACTCTTCTTTAATCTTTCCTTAAGCTTACATATCAATTTATGTTACAAGAGCAACCCAAAATTTAAAGGAATAACTAACTAATTGAAGTTTACCTTATGCTATTGAGAAGAGCTCAACCCACGTGAAAAAGAAGAGTAAGAGTAGAAATGGTTTAATTTTCCTCTTCTCCCCCATTTAAAATCCCTAATATGAAATATATTTTAAATTCATTTTTCCTCTTAAAAGACCAAAGTGCCCTCTTAATTTATCTATTCTTACAAATTAGTCTAAACACTATTCCAAATAATTTTCTCATCTTTTACCACTTATTAAAATAAATCTTAAATTTTAAATATTTTCAATAAAATCTTTGACCTGATATTTGGGGTATTACAAATCGAGCAAGATGAAACACTTTCAATTGGACTAGTAGCCACAATATGAGAAATCCTACTGCAACGTGAACCAACAACAAGCTTGGGAAACACAAACTTGGAGGCAACATGATCATCCTCTAGTTGAACAGGAGATTCTTGTGACTTGCTTACAAAAGGAAAGATAGTTTCATTAAATGGCACATATCTCGAGATGTAGAGTTTACCGTCGAACCCAAGACACTTATAACCACGCTGATTAGAGCTATAGCCGAGAAATACACAAGCTTTAGATCTAAGCTACAACTTATGTTGATTGTAAGGCCTCACGAAAGGGAAACACTGACAACCAAAAACCTTGATAGTCAGGTGGTTGTGAAACAGTTTTTCAAACGGTGTATGTCTTGCAAAACTTTAGTAGGCAACCTGTTAATAAGATATACAATAGTAGAAAAAGCATCAGAACAAAACTTAAAAGGGAAAGATGCATGTGCGTCAGAGTAAGACCAAGTTCAATTATATGATAGCGCTTTCGCTCAAATATGCCATTCTATTCAGACGTATGCTAACACGTATGCTAAAAAATAACACCATGTTGTCAAAAGTATGAAAATAGAGGTTTAAATTCATTGCCACAGTTAGATTGAACCGTTTTCAGTTTACAATTAAAATGTGGTTCAACCATTTTATGAAAATTTATAACAACATTTTGCACATTAGATTTCCTAGCCAAAAAATATATCCAAGTAAATCTTGTACAAGCATCAACAAATCTGATATAATAACTAGAATTATTTGAAATTAAAGGAGCAGGACTCCAAATATCCATTTGTACAAGTTGTAGAGGATGATCATAAACAAACAATGATTTCTGAAAAGGTAGTTTGTGACTATTGCCAAGCTGGCAAGCCTCACAAAACATTTTATTGTCATCAGAAATATTACATTGTTTTAACAGTTTGGCTAAAACCTTACCAAAAGGATGTCCTAATCTTCTATGCCACAATCCAAAACTCAAACAAACACTATTACAAGTATTAACCACGACACTACAATCATAAGCATGCATCTCAACCCTATTCGAATCAGGAAGCATAGTCCTAGAAGAACTTGAAGATTTATTTACACTAGGCACATGAACAGAAGAACACACAGCAGGACATTCCTCAATATTAGACCTAGCAGATATGCTAACATGTTTCAAAGCAACAACAAAAGCTAACTCATACAAAACTTCACCCTCCAAGCCTCGAAACATTACCTGTCTAGTTTTCAAATCGTTCACAACACAAGTGTTAGGATAAAACTAAATTGAAAGATTGTTATCTTTCATAAATCTAGACACGGAAAGTAGATTTTTTAATAGAGGGAACATGTAGAAGATTATTTAACATTAATGTTATGGATTGAGAACATAAAACAACACTCCCAACATTTGAAATGGGTACATCCACTCTGTTGGCAACCAATACCTTACTTGAACCCCGATATGGAGAAGGGTTAATAACATTACCTACAATAGGAGTTAGATGAGTGGTGGCTCCAGAATCCGGGTACCGAGCTATATCACCGTATCCAGAAACACTAAACTCATCGGTAATTGAAATTACAATGACATCATGGAAATCTGAATCACCATGAACCGACCCATCGAACTGAACCATCGGTTCTCCAGTCACATCTTCGTTAATTTAATAGTTCAGAGACAGATTAGGGACAACACTACCCTAAAAAGATTGATCGAACTGGAAGTAGCACCTATTTGCAAGGCCACCCAACTTGCCACAAATCTGACATTGAATGCGAGAACGACCACCATATCCACGGGTTCCTCGACCTCTAGCACCATAACTGTCTCTATTGAACGAAGGATGATTACCTTAAAAGTGATTGAAAGCTTGTTGAGAAAACCCTTGACCTTGAAAAGATCTTTGTAAATTTCCACTAGGAACTTCATAGACATTATTCGAAACGGCTGGAGCAAAACTAGAGTAAGGATTCTGATTAGGGTAAACTTGTCCCAATTGAGTACTAAATGGGCTTGGCCTGCCCAATGACCCATTATGAACAAAGCCTTGAACCAAATTAACTGATGTTTTAACCCAAAAACTCCTGCTGCCTTGCCTCTGTATCAAGAAGTACATTATATACGCCATCAACCACACGGTTGTTGACAGCCACCACATGTTAGTACACTGGTGGCAACCCAGAAAAAATAGCCGAGATGTGCACTGTTTCAGATAGCAGATTTCCACACGTGGTAAGATTATCAGAAATAGCTTGGATTTGTGCAAGATATTCCGGCATACTCTGATCTCCAACTCATTTTCGTTCAAGGCTTATTTAGTATATATATTAATATAAAATAGATTTTGAAAATATATATAACATATAATTTTTGAAAATATTTTAAAAACAGATATAACATATAATTTTTGAAAATATTTTAAAAATATATAATATATAGTTTTTTAAAAATATTTTGAAAATATATAAATAATATAAAGTTTTGAAAACATTTTTGAAAAAATATATATAATATATAGTTTTGAAATATTTTTTGAAAAAATATATATAATATATAATTTTGGAAACATTTTGGAAATATATATAATATATAGTTTTAAAACGTTTTTGAAATATATATAATTAAAAAAAATGATTTATAATTTACTTATTTTTTATTATTTTATTATTTTTATTTCTTTATTTTTATTTTTTAGGTTCGAATAGTCCAAGATACGGGTCCAGAATACAATCCAACCGAGTAAACCTGACCCACAGACCCGGCAAGCTCGAGTAGGCCTGACCCAGCCTAAAGGATTAGGGTTTTACATTTAATCAGGGGCGCCACAAGGGTAGAAAACAATCACGCGCGTGGAGGCCACGTGCCAACGAGTTGGTCGAGATCATCGGCCGAACGCTCGGGACTGAACCATCCGGGGATTTCGGGCCCAACGTCAATCTCAACAGAACGTGAACGGGTCGAGAAACAGCCCCGAAAAGATAGGGGGTGGCCCCGAGATCATCGGAACCCAAGAAACCGATCGAAAGCTATAAAAGCCTCGTCTGTGAGAGATTAAAGGACTCCAAAAAGTATCACTGGAAAATCAAAGCACGAACCAAGATCACCAGAAACACCGAACACCAAACTATCACATCAACCAAATCAACCAAGCAAACAAAGCAGAAACAAGCAGTTGAAACAACAAAAACTAAGCAGAAAAAAAATTCGAAATAGCGAGGAAAATGACAAAAAAATGAAGGATTCAGTTTTGGGACTGCACGGAGAAAAGCACGGTCGCGGAAAACCAAAGGTCGTCGGAAATCGTAGAGGCTCGCCAGAAAAAGGAAAAACCCGAATCTTTCGAGTTAGATATATGCCATTTAGGGAATATTTAGAGGATTTGGGGTTTAATTTTAGCATGAGGTGGCGAGAGGAGCATTCTGAGTAGGGGTTTAGGATTTCCCCCGTGGTCGGTGCGGCGGTCGACGACGGATGACTTCATCGGAGGTTGGTCGGTACTCGACCGGTGGGGAGCGTTTGAGAGGATATCGAGAGAGAAAGTGGTGAGTAATGTGGAGGCGAATGAGAAAATGAGAGGGGAATTGGATTTTTGGGTATTTATATACCAGGGGCCTTTATGTAATTAAGGGATTGTTAAATCCTTTCCGTCGTCCCTCAAGTTTTGAAGTGTAATTCATTTTGGTCACCTGTTTCAATTTTACCTCTGAATTTTCAATTATTTCAATTTGATCATTTGTTATATTATTATATTTTACGATTTAATCCCCTAACTCTTTGTTTTCTTTGGTAGATCACTTTCTAATATCAATTCAAGCCATTAAGACATAATTAATTCAATTCGGTCCCCTATTTTTTTTTTACTTTTTTTGCTTTTTTTTTACATTTTACTTCCTTTTAATATTCTTTTTGTTCTTTTCAAATTTTATTTTTTTATTTATTTTCCTAATTTTATTTTATTTTATTCTATTTTATCTCTTTTCACTTTAAATATTGTTGTATTTAATTCTTTTATTTATTTTAACCTTTTTTGTGTTGTCCTATTAATTCATGATTTAATAGGTCTTCTGACCTTTTTAGGGCATTTTAACTAATCAAAGGTAAGTAATTTGAATCGAGTCTTAAAATTTTAATTTTCGCAATTAAGATAATTGGAAAATTAAAACGGTACTGAAAGGGCAGTTCAAGGGTTTTAATTCTTCCTTGACTGTAACTGACTCCCGAAACCGACATGTTTATGGTAAAACGCAGATCAGGTAAGAAGGTTTCTGATCAGCCTAAATATTGTTTCTAAAATGATCGGTATCATCTCTAACGTGTTTTATTTAAGTTGAAGTCCAATTTCGGGCCCACCTGAAAGACAGTTAGCAAGAATTAATTTTCGGTTGTCTTTTTAAGCGAAAATAACAAATTTTAATTTATCTTTGATTATTTTTCAAATAAATAGTTGTACTGACGTTTTTTCACTGATTTCAGATTTTTAAAATTTTCATCTCAGGCTCTATACTCGAGCTTCAAACCTTTTTTAAGTGGAGGTGAAAGCGACGCCTTCATGGGAATTTATTCTCCGTATAAGCCTAGCAAGTAACCTTCGGGATTCATATACCTTATGTCTTCATGTGAATTTATTATCCGTATAGATATAAGGGAATATATCATCTCGAGTTTAACTTGGTCCACATAAGCTTGTAATGAGCTTAGGACTGAAGGTTTGGTAAGCCCAAAGGGGCACCAACAAGGAGAACAAGGGTATCTTTTTTTAGAACCTAAATCGAGAGACAAGGAATTAGAGCCCACCCCAAAACTTTATTTCAAAACCTAGGATATTTTGAGATTATTTTCTGCTTTATTTTTTGTTTAGAGCTTGTGAACTAGAAGTTTATGTGGTTATGACTTGTTCAAAATCAACATGTGGGATAGAGATCATGTCCGGGTAGGAATAATAAGTATGTGGGGGTAGATAGTGATAACTCCGTAAAAAGACTCAATTTCTAGTATTTTCGTTTAAGTTATTGCTCATCTAAACAAATTATGCACAATATTTTAGTTGCATGTAGGTTATATTAGTGGATAAGTTTTGCTTCGGCAAGATTTATGCGGTTTAACTGATACTGTTGAGAAGAAAGGTTGTGTGTATTGTGTATGTGCATGAAACATACAGAGGAAGAACATTTCAATCGTGACAACGTAATTTGCGAGGGCCTATGGAACAGAGAAGAACTTAAGGTGTAGATTTATCTCGCTGAGGCAAGGTTTATCTGAAGAGTATGAAGCGGGTATGACGAAATCGCCTATGTCACACGCCAGCTGGATGACCTCCTTCACGTGCAAGTAAGCCTTAAATATTATGACACCTTCATTTCATTTTTAAGTATGGATAAAAAATAACGATTATTTAATGAATCTCCAATCATGCGAAACCCTAGGAGATTCTTCCCTATAAATAACCAGCCGTAGCCGCCAAAAGTGGGAGGCAAGGAAGAAGATAGAAGAGCTTTACTTAAGGCGTAAGGAAACAACTGCAGTGCATTCCCACCGTCTACCAACTGACTTTCCTTGGTGTTCTCCATAGCAGACTGTAGCAGAGTGGTGATCAGGTCTCGAGAGAGGCTGATCACCAAGACAGGCGCTGCGCTAATCAGAATTGTCACGACAGCGCCCCTGGTTTTGGGAGTCGTTCTTTATTTGTTTTTAACTTCTTTATATGTTTGGGGTTGTATTAAATGTTGAATATTGGATGATTTTTTATAGCACCATGACTATCTTACTTGGTGTTAATCTCTGTGTTGCATAGACAATTATTTTCTGTTTATGAATGATGAATTATGTTTTTGCTCATGACTGTTTTGTTCATTGTTTAAATATTTTACATTGACACTGTAAAAGCATCGAGAGATCACCTGGGATTTTGGTAAAACATGTCTTGGCAATGTAAGAGCATAGAGAGATAACCTTTTGTATAGATAATGATTCTTAGATTCAAGAGAATTAAGATAGATCCACGTGAACAAAGGAATGAATTCGAGATGGTGAAGTTCTAACTTGTCTACCTTAGAGATAAGGAGCGGGTTTCAATTGACTAAAAAGGATAAACTCTAGAGTAGGATAGACAACGCCTATAGTTCACGCTGAGAGGTATTACTACAACAACAGTCTGACAAACCAAGGGTTGTAGTTAACCCTGAGTAGTATTGCCATAGCAACCATCTAGAACACCTAGTAATTCTATTGGGTAGCTTAAGAAAGTCATAATAATTCATTCGAGACTTAGAGTAATTGTTGTTAATACAAAAGATTAAAATAAGTGCTATATGATAAGTCTAAGTATGTGAGGTTGTTTGAATTATAGTTAAATCAATACTTGTCTTTATTTTGTTTATTTCAGTGTTCTGCATATTTATTTTGCCTCGACCAAACTTTTCTGCAATCGTTCATTATACTATTTTCTTGCTTTATTAATATTAGCTTTTTAGTTTGACAAGATAGTTGGAATTAGTGTGTGACAACTAATTCTAGTTGTGGTGAATATAAATTTCTAAACCAATCCCTGTGGAGATGATAACTCACTCACTACTATATTACTTTCATCGATTGTGTATACTTGCACATAATTCTTGCCTTAGCATATACATTTACAAGCGATCAAGTTTTTGGCGCCGCTGCCGGGGATTGACAACTGACGAAATTTTTATTCGCCAAAACAAGGTTTTTTTTCGGCTTATATTTATCTAGTCTAACGTAGTTTACTATTTTCTTTTGTAGGTTTTTATTGCATGACCCTGAGATCTACTGGTAAGCCTTTGGAACCATTTGACCCGAAAGTTGAACAATCGTTCAGACAGAGGTTACGTGGCCAAAGAACCAGAGAACATTTAAACCAACTTCAAATGCAAGACAACAACTTGAGAGATCTGGGAGATCCTGATGCAGTAATTAAT